GGAGGGGGGATGACAGTTTGGGTGAGTTTATTACCATATCATTAGTGTGTTAATAGACTTGGCTCTGGGCTTGCCAACTTTTCTTCGTCGAAAAAATAACTTTATTTACCAATTGGGAATTGCATAACGGGTTGAAGTCCATAATCTGCAATAGAGTTAATCTGTGGGAACTTAAAAGAACCCACATACTTCCTGTGATAACATATATATATATATATATATTATTTTGCAAAAATACACAGGGCCATTTCTTAACTTTCGAATTAAAATTTACTATAATATTTATAAATTACATAAACAACAATTACATCTCTTAATTCATAAACGTTCACTTACATGATGTGATGAAAGTACTCCTCCTTTCTCCTCATAAAACAATGGGAAAGCGTACATTTACAAATGAACCACCACGCGGGCCCAATACGGATTGGTGGGTGTTCACGGCTTCAGCAACCGGGACCAACGGCTTAACGTGCTTTTTGAAGGACAGACGAGGTCGGTCCGAGGTTATTGGTTTCGGTGAACCGTCAGCTGCTACATTTTTACCATAGTCTTATGAACCCCTATTTTTCTTTCACGCCAACGTAGACCCCCGTTGAATCCCTCATGGACCCCTGGGGGTCCCCTCACCTCACACCTCACTTCACCTAGACCACTTAGGGAATCACTGACTTATATTATCTTAAGTATATTTCATTAAAAGCAAATAAATATGTTGTTGTTAATAAGAAACTGTTTTTACAGGTAAATCTTCTGATATTTTTACTGGTATTCTGTATAATACATACTCCCCACCGCCCGGGTTTTGTTTCGATGTTCTCTGCAACGATGAGCCAATCATCGACGATCCATCGTCGCCGGATTACAATGTCGACCGGAGGGTGAGTTGAGCATCCTTTTACGGTAGATGGCGCTGATTTTAGAAATTGATCGGTTCTGTCAAAATTTTATTACTTTCACTATTGGTTTTCTTTTTGAAATTGTAATATATCGTTCGGAATTCTATTTTATTTATGAATGAAGTTTTTATTTATTCAAATAAGTTTGACATATAAAGGTATGGACTGTGGACTTTAGCTGCCAATTATAAGAAGTCAATTTCATCTCATACTTATTGAGTTTCTTATTGATTAAATTATACGACAGACTTGTTAATTAATTATCTGATACGACTTATTGTACGTCAAATACAAAGGTGATAAGTTAATAGCGGGCCGGTCCTATTAGTACAGAGGAACGTTGCCATATATAATATAAAATAGCAATGAGGAAGTATTTAAAAAAAATGGTCATGGAATCAAACTAGATGTTGTTGCGGTCGCTCTTGATTTTTCCATGAAAACTCTTTCGGTTTTTTTTTTCATGCCTAAAATTAAATTAACTTTCAAAAACTCAATAAACAACTCATATTCTATTTGTACTTTTTCGTATTTGTATTGATATCTAAATTTAAAAGGAACGGAAATGACTAACTTTTGTCCATTAGTTTCCTGCAACAATCAGCTTTTGCTAGAGTCGCCATCTAGTGAGGTTCTTTTTGAGAGATTCTTTTTTTTAAATACTACCTCATTCTCATCTTTGTCCTTGAAAAAGGACAGGCTTTAGTTTATGATATTATTAAATTTTAAGCGTTTAGTTTATGATATTATAAAATTTTAAGTTTATCAAAACACATAATGTGTTTTGATAAACTTAAAATTTTGTTCTCTCATCTAATTTCTGAAAGATACTTTCAATTATAACAACTGTTATTTTTGTTATCTATAAACGAGTTCCTGCTTATGATATACCTACAGTAAGCAGAGGTCCGTTACCGTTTTTGTTGATATATTTACAATTAATGCTTGATGAATAATGCTTAAAAAATCCACTTCGTCCCCGGCACTCTGAGATGGGACTCGAACCGAGGACCTTTCGCAATCCGAGCGACTGCTCTAACCACTGAGCTACCCAGGACCTAACAGGACTGACGAATTTTTCAAGCACTTTTAACTTTTTCGCTTCTACAGAAGAATTAAGAATATTATTGCATTCCACAATGTAGTATTGCTTTCAGCTTATAAACAGAGCGATTGTGTTTTAGACTATATATAAAAGATTATACTTGCCATACAAAATAATAACCCTGTATATAAAATAGTTAAGGACATTTAAGATGTGTTTTAGACTATATATAAAAGATTATACTCGCCATACAAAATAATAACCCTGTATATAAAATAGTTAAGGACATTTAAGATGTGTTTTAGACTATATATAAAAGATTATACTCGCCATACAAAATAATAACCCTGTATAAAAAATATTTAAGGACATTTAAGAAAAGCATTTTTCCAATGTTTTCGTAACTAAAGCCCATTTATAGGTGTCAGACTTTCTAAAAGTGACAAAACACATGTCCGAGGCTTATGTCACTAACAATCTGTTAGTGACTATGGGTGAAGATTTTCAATATCAACTGGCCGACATGTGGTTCAAAAATCTAGACAAATTAATCAAGTAAGTTATAGACTGGGAGCTCGTGACAAAAGTGTGCAAGAGCTTTTTAAAGTTTGACATTTCAGTGTGTTGGAGTACTGATAGCTAGTTGCACAAATGTTCATTAAAAATTTCATCAGTTTAAAGCGACATTTCCTATACAAATATGACAACCATTAGTGCTTAAAGGCGTCATTAAATCTTAATGGACGTTTGTGCGACTGACCGTAAGTATATTAACATCACTCAGTACCAAGTGCGGAGGCCAGAGGTGCGCCACCTAACACTCTAACGATGGTTCTAGCTATAGGATACGACATCTTATCGATGTTATGCCGACATTACGTGTCATTTTACTACTTTACATGTACTTAAGTAACGACGAACGAACGATAAATAATGATTTAACGACCTCCGTAGCCGAGTGGTTCGCCCGTCGGTTTCAAGTTGTCGCCATCTCTGAGGTGCCGGGTACGATTTTAGATCGGGTCAATGTAGGAAATGAACTTTTCTATATTGACTCGGGTCTGGGTGTTGTGGTACCTTCGTTGTCTCAGATACTCCATAATACGGGGGCTTTAACTACTCATCTTGGAATCTGAGCAATGTATGTGATATTGTTTAATATTTAATATTAATGTTAGATTTGATAGCAGCGTTACCAATTTAGTTAAATTTACACACCAAAAGACATGTCGAAGAAGTAACATAAAATCACTAACTTGTCGTATTCTACGGTTAGAATCATCACCAGAGAGATAGGCGTTCTAACCCCAGGTGTTCCAGCACCTGACTTCCGCACTGGGTACTGAGTGATGTACTCTTATGCTCCTTTTCGCTAAACTTAGGAGTCGCCTAAATATTTAAGAATCGCCTAAGGTGAGCCGCCTAGCATTTCACCAATGACTAGGAACCATATAACGATATTAAAAAGCGCCTTAAGTTTGAAATGCGTTATGCGGTAAAGTCAGGAGTCGTCTAAATATTTAAGAATCGCCTAAGGTGAAAAGCCATTTCCACTAATGACTAGGAACCATTAAAAATATTAAATAGCGTCTTAAGACATGAAATGCGATTCGGTAGGCATTTGCGTAATATACAGGTCACAGATATGTCGAGCAGAAACGATTCATAATATTAGGCGTTACCTAGTTAAGCAATGTTTTGTTCCGGGTTAGTGAAAATTAGTGTTACTACTTCAACATACTCAAATATCAAGCTTTAGAAAGCTCATACACATTTTTGTCACGAGCTCTTAGACTATTAAATGCACGATTAATTTCATATTTTTTATACAATGAATTTGACAAGCATGTGAATGGTTTGATGTAAGATAACGTAATAACTCTTTATTGTCCAACACCTAACAGAGATCTGCGGTCCTAACGCTTTACAGTGATTTCTTCCAGACACTTGTATTGAAAGAAAATGTTTAATTGTTTGTGAATTATTATTATTAATTTTTGTTTTTTTTTACCCGACTAATGCGAAACGAAGGGCGGGTTATGATTTTGGCCGGTATGTATGTAAGAACATTCATCTGTTCCATTATAACTTGGAAACTGCTCATCGTAACTGGACAAATGAGGTATCACTAGAAGCGTCTTAGTCCGCGCGCTATAGGCTGTGTGACGTTACATTAACATTGGCAACAGCGCCCTCTATAGAGCATAAAGTAAGAAACGAAATAATTATATATTATACAATCATTCTGTGTATGGTATCATATGAAAGGGCTCAATTAGCACATTTCAAATTATGTATATATGTATATAATTATTGTATCCACAAAAAGGATACAATTTTAATTCTTACTAAATCAAATTGTCGATGGATTTGTAAAGCCCTACAGTGACGAAAAGGTCAAATACACCCGAAAATAAATGTCACAACAGTCTGTTTTGTTATGATCGGTGGCACAACACTACGCTTTCCCTCGGTCATTGCTATTATAATATAGCTGCCGCTATAAAGTAAATTTCTTGGTTTCAAACTTTTTAGAGCGTGATTTAGCTGTAGACTGGTTTTAGGTTTTGTATTTATTACTTTTAATATTGTGATAGAAAGTGATCTAAAAGTCTTATGATGTCATTTTTAAATTGACATCACTGTTATAAATAAAACACGGAGAAAAAAGCAGCTCATTCTTGCCGATTCTTCTCAGTACAAGGTCTCCCGGCGTAGGTTTAAAAACTTCTACATTCACAAGCACTTATATCAATCTAGGCTGTTTAAATAATTTGAATGGCGAAACAAAATGTTAATATATATGAAGCGTAACTTACTAGCTCTTTGATTTTATAGAATCGTAAATTGTACATGCCTATTTAGCATTAAAAAAAGGAAATAAAATAATGGTCCATTGTTTCTTTAAAATCTTTAAGTATTCAACAATACTTAAATTTTATGTATGTAAAGAATTCGATCATATGTCTTTTATAATACTAGGTCAAAGATTCTCAAAACGAGATAAGCAGACCCCATGTGGTCCACTAAATCGTAGGGGGTCTGCGATAAGATACACGTTACAGCTAACCGACCCATTGCTACACTTCATTAATTTTGCGATAAAAACGTTGTAGTATATGAATAATGCAGTGAATTTGAAGAAAATTGCTGCTAAAATATAATTATTTTTATAACAAAGCCTTTTATAATTGTATAATTTTTATAATAGTAAACGTATAAAATATCTTGTACCTTTTTATTAATTTCCGTCTTAAAAAGTCGGTCTGATCGCGGTTTTTGTTAGAAAATTCTAATAACCCCAATGCAGGGCTCCCTTATGGATAGTTAAAGAGAATGGGCTATGACCTTCTACGTAAGCCTAATGCAGATTGAAGGGTATTAATAGCAGCTACACCCGGGATTTACGGCTTAACATGCAAAAAGCACGTAGGAGATCGAGATAATAAAATCGCTTAACAACAATGATCGCGAGCCACCATCCACTACGCCACCGAGCTGCGTCGATTACTTTAAATTAGGTAATAATAATATTTATTTCAGATTTCTGCATTTGTTTCTGGAGATAATCCTTTGTAACTAAAAAAAATAGTATTACTTTATATATTAACTAGCTGTTTTGCCGCGACTTCACCAGTGTAAATTATAACCTTTGTCATCGGCGTAAACGTCATAGATAAAAAAAAAGTTATCTAATAATATTGGAGCATATATAATCCAAACATATAATCAAATCTTTTCTTTTTATAATCTTATTTATAATATGTATAATACTAAAACGGCGCCATCTTTAAGTATACTTATTTCTTCACAGAACAGTTTTGTAACCTATTATTGCTTCTTAGGTAGCTGAATTCTTCAATCGTACTAAACAAATGGCCAAAGTTTACCTAACTAATAACATTCTAGTCACTATGGGGGACGATTTTAACTACCAAGACGCGGGAATGTGGTTCAAGAACCTGGATAAGTTGATTAAGTGAGTTTTTAGAAAACTATTTACAATTATGGCTTTTGCCAAAAACTTCCAAAATGGTAGTTTTATACTAGAAAACTACCAAATTTAAGGTTTCATGTAAATAGTATTCGTCAATATGAGTTCTCGTTCTCGGTAGTTAAGTTCATAGAAAAAGTTTTCGTAAGTGCATGTTATAGCATGTTTTTTTTTATTCACACAGGTTTTTGTATCACATTCCGAAAATTTATAAATAAATAAATATTCATTTATATAACTTATATTATATATTATTTAATAGTGCACAAAAACCCTATTTTTAAAATATTAATCCGATCAAATTAACTTAATTTAAAAATACCATATTTCAATTTATTAAGTTATAGTCTGTTATTATTTTATTTGGTATATTAAGTCTCAGTTGCACCAATTTACTTTAACAATAACAAACATGTTAAAATTAAGAATCGTTTGGCAATGGTTAGGTGACGTCATTACTATAACTGTAAACTAGAACCACCTAAGTTTAGCTGTTTAAATTTATTATTTTTCTGTGCCAAGAAAAAAGGTGCAACGCAATACCATATCTTTAACTGCTGTTATGGTACAATCCAGTATTATTATTATTTTATTTTATTAATGCATTTCTCTAACATATTACAATTCCCTTATAAGGCGTCACGTGTGTGCTTTTAATTAAAGTACGTCAGATAGATAACTGATCCTATGTACGCTTTCTACACAGTTGTGACATAACGGGACCTACTCTTCAATTTTAATGCCAATTGATAAATACGTTTCTAATATTTTTCTATTAACAGACCGACGGACTAAATAGATTGTCTTTTTTTAACCAACGCATTATCCCTATTTTAAAGCAATTAATAATTAGAATTTGACATAGAAATCGTTTTTATTATAGCTACAATTATAACGTAAGAGTTGGTCCTCCTAATCCTTTAATGTTTAACAAATAGAGCTAGTAATTGTATTTATCACAGTTTTAACAAAACTGACAGTAAATTATTAGAAAAACCAATTTTATTATTCGATTTTATCAATTTCTAGTTGCTACATTCGTATTAAAAACGTGATTAATCAATATCGTCAAAAAATAAATAATATTAGAAAGTCAGTGGTTCTCAACATACGTAACGGCCGCCCCCTTTACAGGTGACCGATTTTATTGAGTACGCGCAACGAGCACAACGAAGTTACTTGACAAATAATGTGCTGATCACCATGGGAGGGGATTTTACATATCAAGACGCAGGAATGTGGTACAAAAACTTAGATAAACTGATTAAGTAAGTTTAAAACGGGCTTGAACATCTTGCATGGGGGCTATTGCGCTTTGGGCGCTACAGGTTTTATAGTAGTAGGTATTTTTATGTTAAATACATGTAGGGTTGCCAACCGAACTATAATTAAAATAATAAGAAACACTTTATTGCACTCTTGAAAATACAATTACATTACATAAAAACAACACATTAAGAAGAGGAGTAAACAAAAGGTGGCCTTATTGCTAAACAGCAATCCCTTCCAGGTGATTCATGGTGAAAGAAGTAAATTTAATGATAGGGATGCTGTGAGATATAGTATTGTACTGTATTATGGGTCTGAGTACTATATTATGGATCTGAGTTCTATATTATGAGTGTGAGAAATATAAGAACGCAAAAATAATATATTTTCCACGTCGAAATCTAACAATTCTTGTTTATTTAGGGGCCTAATACGTAATTTTTTATTGATACGACAATTTAGGTAGATAGATATTATGTAAATGTCGTTACTTGTGCTAAGAGTTGGTAAGTTTTTTCACTGGTTATTCTTGTCAGCCAAAAGACGCTCTGAATTGGTGCTTTCAATAAGTTTATTTTCATAACATAAGATTAACTATCCAATCTTATGTGAACACGGAACCTGTAAAGGGTCCAAACGTCAATAAAACTTAATATAAACGCGAAGAAACCGTTTAAATGTTGTTTCATTTAAAGATAATTATATCTCAGCGCATTTGTCTTGATTTATAGATTCTTTTTTTATTTTATTGGTACCCAGGTACTATATATTTTTTGAAGTGTACTATATTTTAATAACTTATTTCAAAAAATTCTTTGTTTCGTTGAAGAAATGTTGGCAACCCTAGTTACATGTGATTTTAACATTAAAATGAACCATTATTTTTAGTGTAGAGAGTGTTGGAATACAATGTAGTAATTTGTGAGTTTACGAAGATAATGGTTTATATTTCAAATAACTTTAGTTTAAGATACATGCCTGGGTTATATCTGTCTTGTCTGTCTTGTGACGTTTGAAATGTGTATAGGAAGTTTCATTTATTTAATCAATATTTAACAGATATGGAAACGAAAAAGCGATAGATGAGAAACTGAATATCAACATATTCTATTCCACACCCGACTGTTATCTGAAAGCAGTGAAAGATGCCAAGTAAGTGTATATTTTTAATGAAAAACTCTTAAAAAATCCACTTTGTCCCCGGCACTATGAGATGGGGACCAGAGACTAAAGAGAATTTATTTACAAATCGGTAATTATGTTCAGTAATCATCATCAGTGGTCTAATTTTAAAATCTTTTACAACCACTTTGAATTTTTCGTTTGAAAGATATTCACCAAGTTCACTCTACAACTATTTGTAATGTGATAGCAATAGCGATCGTGACCTTTTTTTTTATAAATGAATTATAACATTTATTTGACGTTAATCGGAATCGTCTAAACAAACAAATATAATAATAATAATATCCTTTATTGCACGCTAGACAGGACATATTACAGAGAAACTAGAAAAAAGAGATCAGTCTCTTTTTTATCTGTCTCATTCTTAATCAAGAATAAGATCTTCAAGCCTTCCGGTTTTCTTTAATGTATAAACATCTTTTAACCAATATATTAAAAAACTGAAATTTGCAAAGTTCGAAACTTAGATATCAATACAAATACGAAAAAGTACAAATAGAATATGAGTTGTTTATTGAGTTTTGAAAACTAATTTACTTTTGTACATGTAAGAAAACCGGAAGGGTTGTCATGGAGGAAACAAGAAAGTACCGTAGCGACATCTTGTTTGATTTCGGAAACAAATGTTTTTTTTAGTACTTCCTCATTGTCTATGACATTGATATAATTCAAATCATCATTCGTTTAAAAACCGATTGTGACTTTAAAAGTTGCACAATTCTATAAATCTCTATCACAAATTCCAGTCCAACATTGCCGGTGAAACAGGACGATTTCTTCCCTTACGCTAGTGACCCGCATTCATATTGGACTGGTTACTTCACATCTAGACCGACTATCAAATTCATAGAGGCAGAAGCTAATAGGTACATGCAGGTGAGAGCTCATAGAATTTTAAGAATAAGATTACTTCATTATTGTTAGGGGCCGTCTATTAATCACGTGATGTATTTTCAGCATTTTTTTACTCTTTTTTAACCCTACTCCCCCTTGGTGAAGTTGAAGACTAAACCCCCCCTTCACTCAAATAGGGATGACGACTTGGTAAAAAAAATGCAATTCTATTTAGTCCGTCAGTCAGATAATAGAAAAATATTAGATACGTATTATTTTTTAACTTCAATTTAACAAGAAATAGCTTAGATAACAGGCATTAAAGTTGAGGAGTGGGGGCTCGCTACGTCACAGTTGAGTAGAAAACGTACTCTAACGTGACGTCATGCGAAATTTCAACTCAATGTAATGCCGTAATTTTATGATTACGAAAAAAATAAAAAAAAACGTGTTTAATATTTTTTAACGCTCTACCTAACGGACAAACAAACAAAAATTAGTCATCATCCCTATTATGTGTATTTTTAGTACCTACAAAAATCTAAATTATTGACGCCGCTTTTCGGATTAGTAATCGCGCGTTTGAGAAAAAAATTAATACACGTATAAATACACCCCCTTCCCCGTTGTATATCGTGATTTACGAACCCCTCCACCTTTGAGTCTTATGTGATTAATGGACGGCCTTTATCGATAGCTTAACACGTGGCTTGTATAATAAAAGACATATTTATCTATATAGGAAAATCATAATATTTTTTTAGCCGTGACGTCACATTTCAATGGACACAGGTGCTGGTTGCGCTCGCAACGACGACCTTAAAATTTAGTTTATTGAAATGTGACGTCACATAACCGCCCGCGTTTCTGCTCTTATAATTCACAGTAAATCGCATGTTATCCAAAAACAAAGTATACTTTCAATTTATTTTAAAATCAAAAATACTGCATAGTTGTTGTTTACATATAAGTTACCATTTCTAAGATATTTCGTAATTCATTATTATAAATGTCAATTAGAAAATTACCATCATCGTCGACCAATTAATATCCCCACTACAAAGGCACTTTAATTCAATAATGGAACTAAATATGAAGCGTTTCCGTAAAAATTCGAATTCACTCAAGTGACCGAATCCACTTCCAAAACGAATCCGCTTAACTTATATAAGTGCAGAAATTCTATTGATACAAAAGTGCCTCAGATATTCTATCCTTAAGTCGTTTCTAAACTCGCTTAACATGCCACGAAATGTTAATATCCATTAAAGGTTAAGTGGATGTCTTTTACGAAGTGAATTCCGTCACTTCAGTGAATTCAAATTCTCTGCTGGCCGTTATTTAACACGGTGGCCCAGTGCGGATTGGTGGGTGTTAATGCAGCTCGAATGCAAATGCAGCGGTACGTTAAAACTAACGATTTAACGTACCTACAGAACAAAGCACATACAAGTTTGAGATTATAATGTTTCAGTCGCCCATCTTACTACTGATTCTTGCCAATGCTCAATCTTCGCATCGTAGAACTTTTAAAATTTTTATAAAAGTAGCACCTGGCTTCTGAATTGAATATTTAGAGTTAAGCACATCTCAAAATATTCTTAAATGTAACTTAAACAGGTTTTCTTTACGGATTTTACTTTTTTTAATGATCAGTTGATAGCAACATAAGAACTAGACATTTTTGCCATGTGTAAAGTAACAAAATTAAGTTATTAAGAATAATCAGTTGAGATTTTGTATTTTTCTCAATTCAGAAACTGGCCGTGTGACTCCAAGTTCAGTGAGCCATAAAACAAAAAATATGTTATATTAAAACTTATTTGTTTTAAAAAAATGGGCTTCTAACAAAAAGTTTGTGTACCACTGTACTTATAATTGTATTGTAGATCGTGAAACAGCTATATGTGTTAGCCGATTTACCAGCAGATGATATGCCAGTTTTGGATAAATTAAAAAGTGCTATGGGTAAGTGTAATAAATATCAGTTATGGAATTTAGTAAGACAACCATCATTCTAGTATTGCTGTATGTGTGTGTGTGCGTGTTTGTGTTGTGTTATATTTATTAAATAATGAGTTATCTAACCTCTACCGGAATGATTTTCCTTTGAAACAGTCAAATAACTTCGAATTTTAATAATAAATACCTATAACAAATAAAAATATAATAGTTTAAAATTATTGAAATAAGACAATTATAATTAATTAAAGTAAAGGACAATTATACTAGTTTAATTTCGGGAACTACTTTTTTTAAAATACTTTATTCTGATCTCATTGAATTGTTTCTTATTCAGGAGTATTACAACATCATGATGCTATCACTGGCACTGAAAAACAACACGTAACATATGATTACATAAGGCTCATTTCGGAGGCGTTACACGACGCTCACGAAACTATCACTACAAAAGTACTCAAGTAAGAAATGTTCACTGAGGCCTCTGTACTTACACCCGTATCTATAGTCAAGTATAAGGGGCCGTCCATTAATCACGTGATGTTTTTCTCAACATTTTTTGACCCCCCCCTCTCCAATGGTGATACATGTTGAGGTTTAAGACTACCCCCTCCTCCTTTAACCAAATCACTTGTAATTAAAAAAAAAAACAAAAAATCTTATGATACACGTGATATATTCCCCCCCCCCCCTTCGAGCCTCACGTGATTAATGGACGGCTCTTAAGTTACTAATGCATTTTCAACAAATTATCAAGAATTTGAATGAAGTAAGAACTGCCTCGCGATTCTGCAAAATTCCTCAAATTCGAATTCACTCATGTGTCACGTCAGTGAGTGTAGAAATTATATTGTTCTAATTTTTTTGTAAAAATTATACAAACAAATTGATTGAATATACGTGTCTCAGATATTCTGTTCGTATGTCATTTCGAAACTTTATTATACTTATGCCACGAACCAATTTAAGGTTGAGGGGATGCCGCTTGTTGAAGTGATTGCGTACACATGAGTGAATACGTATTAGGGTTTGAATTTTTTAGGGAATCACAGGGCAGGGGGGGGCCAATTCTACTATTTAAATAAATTTTGTTTAAATCGAATCGAAAACGGATCGAAACCGAACGAAACTACAGTTTTTAATGGTTTTTCTATTCTACTAAGTGACATACGATACAATTCCAGCTAAAATAGAACTGTAAATTTTGTTTAAATCGAAGTTTTCAATGGTTTTTCTATTCTACTAAGTTCTATTTTAGCTGGAATTGTATTGTTTCGCTCGGTTTCGATTCGTTTCAATTCGATTGAAACAAAATTTATTTAGTAGAATTGGCCCCCAGGACGAGTCTGGAAAAATCCGAACCTGATTTCGAATTCACTCGTGTGTCTGAATTTTCGTGATTTAGTGTAGAAAAAATATTCATACTATTTTTTGTATAGAAATACAAAAAAAAAATCATTGATTATACGTGTCTCAGATATTTTATTTCTAAGTCATTTTGAAACTCACTTCACTTATGCCACGAAACTTTATAACCGATTCAAGATTGAGCGGATGCCGCTTTTTGAAGTGAATTCGGGTCTGCTGGTCTTGGCGGTTAGAAACGCGACACGTGGGGGGGGGGGGGGGGTCGGTTTTTTTAACTAGTATGTAATTATATAATTGTTTCGCAGCGAAATGATTCACGGCAAAGCCGCAAATGTGCAGTGGACGTTTGAAAGATGTCAACTGAATGAGTCCAGTTGTGTCACATCGGAGAACCTCCAGGGGAATATGATCGTAAGTGTTTAGTTACCATAGTAACCGTTGTTTACTGTTCAATTTGTCATTGCAATAGGGATGACGACTAATTTTTGTTTGTTTGTCCGTCAGGTAGAGTGTTAAAAAATATTAAACACGTATTTTTTTATATTTTTCGTAATCATAAAATTACGGCGTTACATGGAGTTGAAATTTCGCATGACATCACGTTAGGGTTCGTTTTCTACTCAACTGTGACGTAGCGAGCCCCCACTCCTCAACTTTAATGCCTGTTATCTAAGCTATTTCTTGTTAAATTGAAGTAAAAAGAAATACGTATCTAATATTTTTCTATTATCCGACTGGTGGACTAAATAGAATTGCATTTTTTTTAGCCAGTCGTCATACCTATTGTATTTTGATATTGCAAATTCTAAAAGGCACCGATCAACCAATATTATTTCATTTCGAGTACTAAATGTACTGAAACAATGTGGCAGTTCGTCATTTATTTTCTATGTTTTTAATAAATATAATAATATCATCACACTCTGATCAGTGATATAAATACAATGTGTTTATCTGTAATGACAAAAATTTCATTACCCTTTACATAACCTTTTTCATAACAGTTTTACATGTTTTCCACTTTTATCTTAATTAAATAAACAATTCACTTACTTGTAAAAACAAAAAAAAAATTAAAGCCTTTATTACAGGTATTTCTTTCACTGCTATTAAAATTTTAAATTATTTCTCTTTTACATTAACTTTCTTAATGAGAAAGTATTTGAAAAAAAAACATTAGTTCCCGAAATCAAACTAGATGTCGCTACGGTACTTTCTTGATTTCTCCATGACAACCCTTCCAGTTTTCTTTCAAGTTTAAAAGTAAATTAGTTTTCAAAACTCAATAAACAACTCATATTCTATTTGTATATTTTCATATTTGTATTGATATCTAAGTTACGAACTTTTCAAATTTCAGTTTTTTAATATGTTAGTTAAAAGGAACGGAAATGACTGTCTTTGGTCCATTCGTTTGCTGCAAAAATCAACTTATGCTAGAGTCGCCATCTAGTGGAGGAGCTTTTTTTAGTGTTTTCGGTTTTTTTTAAATACTTCCTCATTATGATGACAAATTGAATAGTAAACAATGGTTACTTTGGTAATGTTTTAATTCCTTGTACAAACTCCCACACCAATTTTCATCCCTTTGTTTTCTGTTTTTTTGGGATAAAATATAGCCTATGTTCACCGGATATGATGTAACTTCCCGTGGGTGAAACAAATCTTAAAATCGTTTCAGCAGTTTCGCAAACAAACAAACAATCAGATTTTTTCTCTTTATAATAAGAATTAGTGTAGATTCAATAAATGTGTTACTTTTTTATTATAGGTGACTCTATACAATCCTTTGGCATGGTCTGTGAGGACGCCGGTCAATATACCGGTTAGCAACTCTGAGGAATACGAAATGAAAGATAGTAATGGTAAGAATTTATATAGACTAGCCTTCCGACTGCGGCTTCGTCCGCGTGATCTAGTTTAAGTCCAGAAATGAGACATATTACATAAAAACTTTCATCCCCTAATTGATTCCTTTAGGGGTAGAATTTTATAAAATCCCGTCTTAGTGAGCACCTACGTCCTAAAAAGAACCCGCATGCAAAATTTGAAACTCCTAGCATTTTTACTTTCTGATATTTCGTGATGAGTGAGTGAGTTAGTGAGTGACCTTTCGCTTCTTCGCCGGATATCCGAAATGCAATCTTTTTGTAATACATGATAAATAATTAATGAAATAATGTCCAATTACAATTACATTTGAATATAAAAAAGTTATTTCGATTATCTTGGTTGTTGAATGAAAATATGCGATCACGTTTGGGTTCGCTAAGTGATTTGAATAAGATAATTAACCTAATTTGATATTTAGTAATAAATTCGGGTATCTGCTTCCGGACACCTGGGGCGCGACCGCCTAACTCATGGACGTAGCCGTAGTCGAAGCTATAATCTACGCTTTATCGATATTTCTTAGGAATCTGTTTATATTCTTCTAAAATTAATTGTTTTTATTTTATTTTATTTATATATTTTATCAAACATTTTGGTTTGTTTTTCTTTTCGAAATAACTTTGTATCAATTCGACATTTTGTAAATTTCGTTTAACTTTAATAATTCAGCAAACAAAAACAACTAAAAGCATTGATGAAATATGTAAATAATAAAAAATGATTAATTTTAAAACAATATCAACAGATTCATGTGTAAATACCGATAAAGCGTAGGTTATACCTACGACTACGGCTACGTCCATGAGTTAGGCGGTCGCACCCATGGACCTGTTAACGGATAACCGGTATGCACGAAAATCCGGAGGCAAAGAATCTTATGGCCATCTAGGCCCGGATATCCGGACCATCCTTTCGGATACTCGGATATCCGCTTTTAAGATTTTTTAATATGTTTAAATTTTGTTGTACTTAACCAGGCATAGTTTACCCTGTACAAACTTCACCTATTCCGGATGGCTTCAAAAGAATATCGACGAGGAAGTCAAAAGCTACACACCAAATAACATTCGTGGCTCCAGTCCCAGCGTTGGGATATAAGAGTTATTACATTCAAAAGTCTAGGCAAAGAAGGGACAAGCGTGATGTAGATTCTTTGGATGGGGCGATGAGATATAATACCTTTGGTTATGATGAGGTGATGAGTGATGACCCTATGGTGGTGCAACGGTATGATGAAGTCGCCGATGAGGTAAGATATGGATAAATAAACGTGTTATATTATCACTAGTTTTCCGCTAGCGGCTTCGCCCGCGTGTATCATGCTATTTGGTTATCCATTCATATCACGACTTGGATATAATTACGAGGGCATATGTGGAAGTATTTTAAGAAAAAAAAAGCACCGCACTAGATGGCGACTCTAGCTAAAGTTGATTTTTGCAGGAAACGAATGGACCAAAGACAGTCATATCCGTTCCTTTTAACTAACATATTAAAAAACTGAAATTCGCAAAGTTCGAAACTTAGATATCAATACAAATACGAAAAAGTACAAATAGAATATGAGTTGTTTATTGAGTTTTGAAAACTAATTTATTTTTGTACATGAAAGAAAACCGGAAGGGTTGTCATGGAGAAATCAAGAACGTACCGTAGCGACATCTAGTTTGATTTCGGGAACTAATTTTTTTTTAATACATTTTCATTGAAAAATAAATAATGGCGATTTCCCATACAAATTTCCACAGTCAAATATTTCTTCTTTATAATATTAGAATTGATAAATATATAGCGGAAAATACTTTACATAGGAACTTGAAATTTGGTACAGGGTTTTCTTTCATGATGTAAGTAAACACTAAGATATGAGTTTTAGAAATTCAACCCCTTAGGGGATGTAACAGGGGGGAAATTTATATGGACAACGCGAGTGAGGCCGCTGGTGGAGGGCTAGTAATATACATATATATATATATATATACCTAATTGTTTTGGTATAACCTAATTTTAAAATTTTTGAGTTGACATTTGAAAGATATCGAATGAACGACCACGTTTATTTGAAGTTAAACTGAATTATCTAAGCAAAGCGATAGCCACATATTATCTTTGAAAATTGTCTATGACATTTATATCATTCAATGAATCGTTCGTTCCAAAAACTATTGTGATTAAAACTTACACAGCTCCATATATCGCTATCACAGTTAGACAATTGTGCAATTCTATATATAGTTATTGTTCAATGTGAATACGACCAATAAATCTAGTCTCATAATGAACCTGGATTTTTTTGTTGACTAAATGGCAATTTCAAATTTAAATTTTTTTTTTTTCAATCTGCACTTTATATCGCTCAGTGAATAGTAAAGTGGCACAACTCAAAAACCATTATTTCGAGAAAACGCCACAACATTGTGGTGGCATCCCATAGATAAATTAAAGAAAAATTAAAAAACTTAACAGTAATAATCAGAGGTCGGAATTAGGTAGAGTTATTCATGTACTTGCATCGAAATGTTGATATTAATGTGGACCTTCGTGGCAACATCGCGCGTATTGGTATTTTGCAACTTTGGACATCCGATGTCATTGATGTAAGTTTGGCAACGTCGTGCGTGCAGAAGTTTAAATTGTGTAAAAGTAAATAACTTTTTATTTAAAAAATCACGGGATTTTTTGTGCTCTTTAAAATTAATCTCGGGATTTGAGGCATATCCACTTTATTCCACTTTATGATTTGAAATCAGTGTAAGTACATGAATAACTCTACCTAATTCCGACCAATGGTAATAATATAATACAAACGATTTAACTATTATGCTAAAAAATTTGATTTTCATAATTATAAATATATTAAATTTTTATAACTTCGGAGAGCGTTTCTCGAAATAATGGTTTTTGAGTTGTGCCACTGTACTATTCAGTGAGCGATTATGTAGCAGCCAACTGGTTAAGTTCGTTCAATTATATAACTCGCAATGCAATTATATGGTTCGACTTTCTTTTGGCTTTATGCTTCTTACATTCGCGTCCATAGTCGAGAGAAGTAATTCCTTTAGAATATGTCATAACTTAAGCAGATATATTTACAAAATAAACAAGAATTTGAATGTAAACTGTTGATAGTATTATTATTATATCTACATTAAAACTACTTAAAACGATCTCAGCACGTTTATATTTGCTTATATTAGGTTCCGGACCCTTTAGAGGTTCCATGTACACTTAAATGAAATTCAATATATTGCATAAATCATGAAGGCGAATATAAACGCGAAAGAAAATTTAAGAAATTATTAAGTTAAGACATTTTCGAAAGTAATTACTTGTTATTTTATAAATTAGTATCGATTTAAGTCCTAAATGATAATTTTCTACTTAGTTTATAAATAATCCGCAGGCAATTCTGTCTACTATCGACAAGAAAGATGAAAGGATATCTGGTCATACATTGTCATACAACCCCGCTTACTACCCAGCATGTATTGGTAACAATATGATATACGCAAACAGATCATCTGGTGCATACATTTTCCGTCCAAACGCTACAAATGCTACACCACTGAAAACTCTCACTGACACACAAATAACGGGTCATATTTTCGAAGAACACAGATCTATAATGTCAGATAACTTTGAATTCTACAACCGTGTTTATAAGGATGCTAATAATCTAACATATAATGAACTATACTGGTTAATAGGACCAATTGTAGACACTGATGGTGTAGGCAAAGAGTATGTTATGAAGTACACAGCTGATTTGGTCACTAATGGTGAATTTATGACTGATTCAAACGGTAGAACTCTCTTGAAAAGGAAGCTGAATGAGCGTCCTCAATGGAATTTGACTTTGGAGGAACCTGTGGCTGGCAATTATTATCCTGTAGTTGGTGTTGCTATAGTAGAAAACGCTGCTAAAGATGGCTCTTTGAGAATTGTTCCTGATAGGCCAGAAGGTGGGGCTTCCTTACAAGAAGGGCAAATAGAAATTATGTTGCACAGACGTCTGTTGCATGATGACGCTTTTGGAGTCGGCGAAGCGTTAAATGAAACTGTTAACGGTGTTGGTTTAGTTGTCACCGGTTATCAAAGGGTATTCGGTGTAAATAATGATAAATTCTCGTTTAAAGATGTCTTAGAAATGAGGAGTAAACCTGATGTGTTTGTGACTGACGCTGAAGATATCTCTTATGAACAATTTAAATCTTTGAACACTGAAAAGAGTTGGTTAAAAGATGGTTTAGAAGTCGGTGTGCATTTACTAACTTTAGAGCCTTTGAGTGGTGATAGATTTTTGATTAGATTCGAGAATTATTTGGACAAATCTAGTGATTCCACTAAGAATATTGATTTGGATAAAGTAATTAAAGGTTTTAAACTTAGATCTGTTGACGAGACAGTATTGAGTGGTGATAAACTATTGAAAGATTATAACAGATGGGTTTGGAGGACGAATAAGGAATTTGCTAAGGATTTCAATGAGGATTATGGAAGTTTCGCTGAAACACCAAGAGCTGTGGATAGAGTAAAGGAAGTAGATGATGGCAACAAAATTAAATTGGACGCTAAAGAAATAAGGACATTCATTGTCCAATATGAATTAGAATAATTCGTTGTTAAGATTAAGGCAAATTTTTGATGAATCTAGATTGTAATTTATTAGATTGTGATTTTGATGTTCTTTTAGTGTTTGTAAATCAGTTTTTTTTTGCATACAAATGATCAAGTCTTTTTTCTCTGTGTATTGTCTTGAAGATTTTTTTCTGTAGTGTTTCTTTTCTTTATTCTTAATATTGTATTTTTTCTCGATCTGTGTAAAGTATTGTTTATGTATATCAGATGGTAAAAGAACTAATGAATAGTTACTTTTTCTACGATTTAGTTAAATCATTACTGTAATGTAGTTATATTAAAATAAAATTTATGCTCTAAATATACTTTGTTTTTTTTATTCCTAGGACATGGCAATACTTATGAAAAAAGAAATTGCGTTGATAATGAGATTTAAATTATAATAAGCGTCATTAACTGGTAATTGAACGTGATTTTAATAGCATTAAATAATCTGTATTTTTTATACTGAAAATTATTCTTAATGAAATATGTTTAAAAATTCTTATTCTTACTTAAAAATATTTTTCAGTATATAATGAGAAAGTATTTAAAAAATACGAAAGCACTAAAAAAGCACCTCCACTAGATGGCGACTCTAGGAAAAGTTGATTTTTGCAGGAAACGAATGGACCAAAGACAGTCATTTCCGTTCCTTTTAACAAACATATCAAAAAACTGTAATTTGAAAAGTTCGAAACTTAGATATCAATACAAATACGATAAATAGAATATGAGTTGTTTATTGAGTTTTGAAAACTAATTTACTTTTAAACATGAAAGAAAACCGGAAGGGTTGTCATGGAGAAATCAAGAACGTACCGTAGCGACATCTAGTTTGATTTCGGAAACTAATGTTTTTTTTTAATACTTCCTCACTGTGAATGCAATATTGATCAAATATAATAATAAGAAGAAAAAATTATCGAATGATTAAATATTTGTGAAAATATTTCTTTCGGCTGTTTGGTTGGATTTTCTGAACATTGATGCGAATACGCTCTGTGGTAGCGAAAAAGTAAAAAGTACTTGAAAGACTCGTCAGTCCTGGATTTATTATTGAATTGTTAATTAAGAATAAACTGTAAATAGGAATAAATTTAATAGATAGGTACTCAAAATTTCAAGTTAAATTATGAGTAAAAAAAATTTCTTTTAGCTGTAAAAGTAGATTGCCTACAAATTGATGAAATTTGCTCACAACAAGCAACAGGAAGTTCTAGCATAATTCGACAGACTTTATAAATTATCGTTCTTATAACCGATTTACTTGATGGAAGTAGTTGTATGGAACTGAAAATTGAATCAACTCTATCTCCAGAGACATTGCCACTGGTTTTGTCAGCATTGGAATGAGGAATTATTAAAAAAAAAAGAAAGCACTAAAAAAGTACCTCCACTAGATGGCGACTCTAGCAAAAGTTGATTTTTGCAGGAAACGAATGGACCAATGACAGTCATTCCCGTTTATTTTAACTTAAAAAAAACAAACTGAAATTTACAAAGTTCGAAACTTAGATATCAATACAAATACGAAAAAGTACAAATAGAATATGAGTTGTTTATTGAGTTTTAAAACCGAATTTCCTTTTAAACATGAAATAAAACCGGAAGTGTTGTCATGGAGAAATCAAGAACGTACCGTAACGAAATCTAGTTTTATTTCGGGAACTATTTTTTTTAATACTTCCTTATTTCCCTATGCGCTGATGGTGCGACACTAGTTAATGCATTCGGTAGAAGTAGCGGGAATACTTTTTCCCGTACCTCCGATTGGGTTTTGTTTTGGGATGAATGGGTTATGTTTAAATCGCTTGCTTTACTTAACCAAAAGTACAGCCAAGGCCGTTATATGAAGTTTTTTTCTTATTTTTCTATGCCTTCGCACGGTTTATACATATAGCCAGTATCAAGTAAATAATTCATATCAAGTTTTGCCCAAATCGAGCTCAAAATGTTTCAAGTAAGTCATAGTCCGTGTGTCAGTCATGTCAAGAGCTCAGGTATAGTGGTGGAACAATACTTAAACCATGTCAAGCGGAGTAATGGAGCAACACAAGATATCACAACGGAGTCGAGTTTCACCTTCCCTAGAATAGTGCAGTTTCACTACACTAAATTGTACTCTACGAAAATTATGCAATTGAAGTCGAATTTAACACTATTTTTCAGAACATAGAACCCGAACCACAAGTTGCGCTATAAAAATCCCGCCATTACTCCTTAGTTTAAGTTAATTGTGTTTATTTATTTGTACTGAAATTATTGAATGTTATGATTACAGTAGTTAAATATTTTTTACTGACCGTCAGTTGCACAAACTTTCATTAAGGTTTAATGACGCTCTAATAAATGTCAAATTTGTATGGGTAATGTTGCTTTAAACTAATGAAAATTTTAATGGACGTTTGTGCAACTGGCTGGACGTTAACATGTGCAATTGGTAGCGAAATTAATGCAATGAAAGTAGACTCAAAGATTAAAATTGATCACTGAGCGAAAAAATAGTTCAAAGCGCGTTGTGGCATTCACATAATAACTACATAGCGAAATCCGTGATTCTGATTCCGTCTGCTTTCAATCTTTCAGCGTAACAGATATAGTGAATGAAAAAAAACAAAAAATATATTTGGTTACATTTTAATGCATCAAAAAATAAATCATACATATTTATATTCTATCACAAATGTTCTGATTTGTTGTGGCGTTAACTCGATAGGTGTATTGACATCTACAGCACGTAAATCTCTAGGTTCTTTATCCACATATTCGAATTTCCCACTGCCATACGCTTCATTGTAACTCTTCAAGAATTTATCTGTATTCCAAGACAGTGGCACCCAATCTTTCAACAATATGTGGCCAGAGAGCGTCGTCTCTTTTACACCTAAAACTTCAATGAAAGTGAATAGATTATATAGATAAACTTTTTTTACGCCCGCATGTATAACATCAGCTTTTTCGAGATAATTCTCCAGCCTCAACAGCAGGGTGTTATCGTTCCATTGTTCCAAAGTCAAAATATGAACACCGATTGGTAATTTTGTTTTCAATCCACTATATTCATTGATTCGAGACATCCACACAGGTTTCCCCCTTGCGCCATAACCCCAAGCTGGCGAAGTAAATATCTGTGGCTTCAACTCTATTTCCTTTGCCAATTTTTTTTCGAAAACTCTATATGGTTTATGGTCTGCCTTGCTGACGTATAAATAGTGTTGCCCTCTTATAACGGTGCCTTGGTTATATTCTGTTTCGTTTAAAGCCGCTTCTTGTATGTCGTCCTCAGTTAAAAGACGTCTGTGTAACAGAATGTTTATTTCGCCATCTTGTAATGATGATCCTCCTTGACATCTGTCATTGAGTACAGCGAAACGAATGTTTTTAGATAGATCCTCTATGTATATCTTTGATGTTACTGGATAAAAGTTGCCTAAAACAGAGGTAGAATTTATTCTTTCTTTCGAAACTTAGATATCAAATTCTTATTGATATCTAAGTTTCGAACTTTGCAAATTTCAGTTTTTAATATGTTAGTTAAAAGGAACGTAAATGACTATCTTTGGTCCACTCGTTTACTGCAAAAATCAACTTTGCTAGAGTCACCATCTAGTGGGTGCTTTATAGTGCTTTATTTTTTTAATAAAATACTTCCTCATTGAAGCAAAAAAAATATGCATCTAATATTTTTCTATTATCTGACTGACGGTTTAGTCCGTCTATTTTGTCGAATTTCTTTTTTTCACTAGTCGCCATTCCTATTAGAATTCGGGTTCGTGCACTGCATTGGTTAAAACAATACTCAGCGAATATTAAGTATTACTAATAGTAATTATTACCGGTAATAGGGTCTTTGTTGACAGGATCGAACATAGGTCGCTTGTTCCTTATCCTCTTCATGGTCTGCCTACCGTTAGAGTCCGTGTAGAACACACCATCGTTGACTAAATCCGTTGAGTATTTGATCAGAACCTCTTTACCTGTTTTACAATTTATAGCATATAATATTAATTTATATTCCAAATTATACATTTGAAACGTAAAACGGGTTCCGGTTCGGGATTAAATCCCGAACCGAAACCCGTTACAATCAAAGCACATTAAATTCTCAATCCGACTTTATTTAATTAATAAAATTACAAAAATAAACCAATAACAAATCTCAAACTTTAACACCACTAGTCACGTCACTATGGTCACTTCCCAACACTATTAGATCGTCCAGATAGTTTACTTCACTAGTTATCGCTTCTTGTTTCGCTTTCGTATTCAGTTCACTAGTCACTGAAAGAATGTCAGGACGGCTAGCCCACCGCTTATTATAGGAGTCTATGCCACGTCTACAATGATCTAGGTTAAGTAGGACCTAGACCATTCTATATGTTAGCCTTGGCCCAACCGGTGAATTCGAGGCATTACCAAAAAGTTGTAGAACGGCTATCCGTCCCTTTCTTTCCCAGTGATAATCCCTTTCTCGAACGCCGTATACTCATATGACACACGGAGTTTCGACGGTGTCATGGTGACACGTAATGCCATCTAGTAACGGATAGATGAAACATCGTGCCGCTGCGCTTCGTTACACTATGAGCACTATGATATGTAGCAACTCGCAATAGGGATGGAACTATACCACCAAGGTATCGATACCGTATCAGACATGAAATATACCTACTCGGAAGCGAATGAAAGTATCGATACTTGTGTCGAATAGTTTTAAAATACCTCACCATAGTCGTGATTTTAATAGATTTTTAGAACAGATTTGATACTATTGATATATTCATATAGTCAATAGCAATACTCAGTTTACGGAAGAAAGAGAATCAGGTCCAGGCATAAAAAGCGATGCATATACTTAGTTATCACTTAAAATTTTTGTTGGCAGGGCTTTCTCTAGATAGAACTTTGACTACATAAAATAAGTAGGTGTTAGCAATGCTTATTGTCATCCGACAGTGACGCCGCGCCAGTGGGAATTTTCCATGAGACAGACTTTAGACTTCTTACACAGTAAAAAGTCGAGCATGCGAGTTTTTTGACTCTCCTCAGTGAGCGGCTGATCATGTACCGATACAAATACTTAACTTCACAATGCTACTCGGTACTCGCTTCTTGAGTATCGATACCAAAACACTTGGTGTCGAAAGAGAAGTATCGAGTAAGTACTTGTATTTACTCGTATTTATTTACTCCATCCCTATTCTTGAAAGTTCGGATTTTTATCATTGAACAATGGCAAATCCTAGATTTTACAAGAAGATCGTAAAATTTACTCATCTCAATCGGGCTATTACAGTAACAATACACATGTTTTGTCATTGCAAACACATATCAATGGCGAGATAACACCGAACAGAGAGAACTTCGTACAATGACCCGGCAGTATCTCTGTCACTCGTGCATTAACACATTGCTTTTACGCTCGCACAGATGCATCTATACTCCATTCATTATAGCATTAGACAGAAGTGAAATAAGGTTCTTTTTATGGTATACTTTGTGACAAAATATCAATAATCATGTTACTTTTAAGGCTGACGGCTAATTTGCTACATATCCAAGTGGATATGTAGCAAATTAGCATTAGAAAGCAGCTGATATTTAAGTAAATATCAGCTGCTTTACTTAACGGTTGTCATTTAAGCTATCTATTAAACAAATTTATGAGTATATGACTAACTTAAATGATTTAATAACTATTACAATAAAAAGTGTTCATCGTAAAGAACCTAAAGAAGCAGGGTTGGATAGTTTCGACACGATTCTCATGTCACTATAACTCTACCAAATTTAAAACGTTGTCTAACCCCTTAAAACGTTTCGGTAGTACAGCTTTTTAATTTTGTCGGACTATTATTTATTCATAATTGTTAAAATCGTAATCTGGGATTGTCATCCATTGTGAATGCTACTGCCTTTCTTGTTGTTTTCGATTGATGTGATGTTATTGTTTTATTTTTGTTGTTAAGTTTTGGTAAATATGGACGATGCCGGTACAGGTCCGAGTGGCCTACAACAATTACGCCTAAGCCCCCATACCTACCCTCAAACTTTGACATTTCAGGGAGTTTTTCCAATGTCTTCATCAATAGTCTAACTTATTACACTTACAATAAGAATTTATCAAAACACACAGATAGTTTCAGTTTCAGTTCCACGTTGGCTTGGGGCTAAAAGATGAATTTATAAATTGCTGGCCACATCTCAACCCCGAGGTATCATAAAAAATGGAAAATTGCCCAGCTCTTTCAGACTACCTAACTTTCAAAGTATCAACAAAACTAATATAGATTTTTTAAATTTATCTTTAAAATAAAATGTTCTACACTGCTGCTTCTATGACCCTCTTTTTTCTAATGTTATAATGAATGAAGTATAGCAAATTTTCTCACAGTAAAGTAAACCTAAAATGTAAACGACAGCAATCAGTAAGCTCAAAGGTCAACGTACGAAATTCTTCTTGTTCCGCGACCGTGGTACTGACCTAGTCCATCAGCTATTGGTATTGGTCCAACCAGCCAGTCCACCTCTAACACTGGACTATGAGGGTACAGACGTAGCGACAACGACGCCCAACTAGAATACCTGAGAAATTGGAATCGAACAATTATGTAGTTAAATTACATTAATACCATATGGAAATTGATGATTTCATAATTGAAATGGGAAAAGAGCTAATTATCGACAACACACGACACACCAAAAAGTTAGTCTGTAAGAACCCCTAATGTTATAGAGTGCTCCAAGGATCAATATTAGGTCCTCTATTATTTAATTTATAATTACTATCTTTTATAAACAAAGAATCGATTTTCATACAGTGCTATTTAATGTTATTACTTCGTTAGTTTTTGAGATTAATAGCATCTGATTAACCTATAAACAATTTGATTGTCATGGTTAAATATTATATCATTTGTTGATTTAACAATATTATTGGCCAACCCAAATGATGACTAGATCTTAAAACCTAGAGTTAAGCTAAATGAAACTAAACTAAATTCTGATTTTGAAACTCAAATTCAATATCATTTATTAGGTCCAGACTGTTAAAGGCTCTTGTTAAATCAACTATGCCACCGGCTCGCAAATATACCTACGGCGGGAGACTTTGTATCGATAAGAACCGGCAAGAAACTCGGCTAAGTTTGCTTCTTTCTTTGTCTTAATTTATACAGAGAAGTTTAATTCAAAAATAACCCTAATGAGGCTATGAAATGTTAGAGATGTGATGGCAACATTTGTGAATAAATTTGAGATAAATGACTAAGTTGGTAACACTGCTGTCAAGTCCATAATCATCAATCTTTATTATTCGTTCGTAGTTATTAAAGTAAATAAAAGTGAAACAAATAATCGCTTCAAAATCGTCGTATTCTATGGCTTTGTTGTCCGAAACGGGATAAATAAACTTCTATATAGCATTGCGAATGCCAATTTTATGAAAAATATAAAAACTTTTGATTTATTTTGATATACCTGATGTGGATTTCTTGTACCACTTGGTTCTTATACACGTTCCCTTTGAATCCATCATTCAATATCTCTGGTTTATCATCCATAGTCCTCATCAGGTAAGCACCTGGAGGTCTTGAATACTTATTCATCCTCTTAGGATCATCAGAAACATAGTAATACATTTGAATTTGTAATTTCATCTTGATACCATTAGCTAGAGATATGCTTATAGCTCTCTTGTTGCTATCTAAATTTACTCTGGTGAACTGTAATAAATGAGTCGTATATTAAAAAACTCGTATTATTATATATAATATACTCGTATATTAACCCTTAACACCACTCGTTATTTTCAGCCTACATATACGTGGGGGAGCTAAGTCCCCACCGTTTGTGGTTATTATTGAAGTAATAAATATAGGATATTTTAGGATTAATATTTATAACATAAATGAAAAAACATACATTCTATCAAAATAAACACTTTTATTTAGGTTTTCATAATCATAATTAGTATTCCTAGTGTGAAATAAAAAAAACTACAAATAATCTCGTCACATTCATGGGGTCTATTTCACAGACTCATTATAAAAAAAAATACTTTTGGAACAAAAAAAACTGATTTTCTAATAACCTACATCACTTATTAACCAAAACCACAGACATAAACTTTTGAATAAATTTTAAAACGTGCAAAATCACAAGGAGAATGTTCTACTTAGTTGACTAATAAATTTTTTACCTTAATATGTTAAGATATTATCAGTCTCATTAAATTAGTCTCAAAAATACAATTATGATGTACTTAAAATTTATGACTCACATTTAGTACATATTTTTACATCAACAGAGTGGTTCCGACAAACATTTTTCATACATATGGAACACACCCTTGGAGTATTACTGTCTTTGCTTCGTGGACACAAATGACACTTCGATTTTTGGCCTCTTGCTTTGGCTCGGGCCTTGTTTTGGTTGATCTTCAGGTATGTCAACACCAACCTCGCGTAGGAACCTGTCCATAATATCTTTCGGCTCCCTCGAAAGTTTCTTCTTTCCAGAACATGAGGAATTACTAAAGTATACCCAAGTTCTTCTAAAAAGTTGTAACGATTCTGAGGATTAGATGCGCTGTAAAGGACATGACTGTTTACTCCGGAAATATTCAATACTAAACAAAATCCTTGACTTTTTCGGTTCTCAGAGTAAGCAGCATACTTCTGGTCTGAAGCATCTACGCCACCTTTGGAAGAATTGTAATAATCGGGTTTTTTGGTTTTGGTTTAGTGCATTGAAGACACTAGGGTTATAGACGTCATTTAGCAGCCTTTCTATCTGCTGGGCACTTAATTTCTTACTCATACTGCACCACAAACCTAAAAAATGTAGATAAAAAAGATTATTATCAACAAAAAAAAAGTACGTAACTACACTCTTGGAGGACCTAGGTCCAGCAAAAAAACGTACGTCACAAACTTCAAACGCTAGCACGACGCACATCTTCACCCCGACAGCTTTCAGGAGTCACTGGGAATACTCGAAACCCCGACCGCGTCGCGTTCAAAATATTTGTATAATTTGCAAAAAACAGAGCGCTGGGGGACCTAGGTCCCCCACGAGTGGTGTTAAGGGTTAACCGAGTAGCTCGGTGGCGTAATGGATAAGCGCCGCGGCCCGCGATCGTTGTCGTTAAGCAACTTTCGCAAGGGTCGGTCACGGGATGGGTGACCAAAAAATTATTATCTCGAGCTACTCCGTGCTTCGGAAGGCACGTTAAGCCGTTGGTCCCGTCTGCATTTGCAGTCGTTAATACCCTCTAATCCGCATTGGGCCAGCGTGGAGGGTCATGGCCCATCCTCCTTAACCATCCATAAGGAAGGCCTGAGCCCCTGCAGTGGGGACGTAAAGGGGCTGGTGATGGTGTGATGATATTAAAACAAAAATTACAAAAATTTTACTGAAAAAATTCCTGCGCTGGTTATTTGATCACGTTTTCATAAATAATTATCAAATCAACTTCCGAGTACACTCAACAATCTTTCCGATTTTTTGGATACGTCCCTACTGTTTAAAGAGACTGATAAACACATTACCCTCCTTTGCATCGCGCAGTCGGGTAAAAAGAAAGTGCTTACCCTATTCCTGATGTACGAATGTTCATTCATAATATAAGATGGGTAGCCAGCCCAATAATCGAATTCATCAAGATCATCATCTTCATCTAGTTTCGGTGCTTTCATCATAAAATCTTGTCGTATATCCTCGCTCTGAAATCCCGATGCCCTCATTTTGGGTGTTAATACATGTTTATCATTCATTATCACTGTAACATCTGCTTCTATATATTTTGGGGTAGTAACAGTCATTCTAGCTGATTTTTCCGTATAAACTGGTTCAGTTGTCTGTGCCCCCAGTACCGATTCTTCTGAGACAACTGTTGATTTGTCATTGTTCTCTGTAGAAACTGATTCTTCTGTGGTAGTCGTTGTTTTATCTGATTCGTCTGTGTCAATTTCGTTATTTGCCATATGTGATGCCCAAATTACTGATGGTTCTGTTTTAACTATTGTTCCGTGTGATTTTTCTGTAGCAATGGATGTTATTATTCCTTCTTTGGTATCTGCTTTGCTTTTATTACAAGAAATAGGTCTTGGCGTCCAAGTTACTGATGATTGTGTATTAAAAACTTCGTTTGTTGTAGTTTCTGGTATGGCTTCTTCATTTATTATTGCAGAATTTGTTGGAACAGCATCTTCAGTAGTAAATGCTTCATCATTCATTAAAACAGCATGTAGAAGGACATTATTTGTTTTAATAGTTTGAAGTTCTGTAGTTGTAGTTGTTGAAGTATTATTGACGATGATATCTGTCTTTCTAGTATTATTAATTTCAGGGTTCGTGGATTGATTCACAGTTTCTGTGGTGACGTCATCGAAATATTCGTAATCATGCAGGTCGTTTTCGTTTAAAAACGAATTTTGTCGGATCATGCGTTCCTTTTTCTTGATTCGGCTTTTTTGCGATGTCTTTGGTGCTCTTCTTGGTCGCTCCCAGCCAATTTGGTGTCTTTGCAAATAGTAGGATCTGGATAATGGAAATACATTTATTGTAAGGACTGAGGACATTGTCTAGGAGTGTAGTGTTTTCTTAAGAAAGCGTTTAAATTAAAAATCACAGGTATAACTCCCTAGACATAAATCTAGCTATAGGATACGACATCTTACTGATGATATTTCCTTTCATATTGCTTTGAAATGTCTTTTGGTGGATGAATTTGGGATACAAATACTAATTTGATAACTCTGCTGTCCAATCTACAATCATCATTATTTATCATTCATTCGTCGTTAATAAAATACATGATAACGTAGTAAAATCAAATATCGATAAGATGTTGTTGGTTAGGCCACGGTGGTTTGAGAGGATTGGTGATTGAATGAAAACGTCCAATTTTGGAATAGAAAATATTCCGCTGATAGTGCAAATATGCTCGTAGCGGAGCGCGCGCGTTGTTCTTTCGGTGCGAAACTGAGACTGCCCCTTGAGAAAGATCAGCCGGCCAGGGACGGATCGTGAATTTGTGGAGCTCTAGGCTAATACTAGTCAAAAGTCTATTAATTACTGAAGTAATTGTAATTTTGTTGAGAAACTGTTTTCAATGGTACCTAATGTAAAAGTTCCGTGTCTTATATTATTTTTATTGGGGGTTGTGAGCTCTTTTGTAGCCACGGGGCCCTGGGTCTGGTAGATCTGCCTCTGCAGCCCCGGATGGTCGTAGATGTGCGCGAGCGCCCTCTTCCTATTGGTCGGAGTAACGCTGTCTCATTCTAACGACTCATTAGGATGAGGGTAGCAAGTCAGTCCGACATCGGTTTTGCACCATCAGAGAAACATACTGTTTATTAAAGCAATGGATAACTAACTATTATTACATTAAACACATGATATTGCTATTTTATTACGTGAATATAGAAAGACCATGCCAATTGCGCTAACCATCGTCAACAGACATCGTCAATCGACTTGGGTTTTCCATTAATAATCCATGGCTCGAAGGGGGGGAGGGGTTCGTCAAAATCACGAAATATCACAAGGGGGAGTGTAGTTATATATCACGTGTATTTATTTTTTCCTCAAACGCGCAATTACTTAAACGAAAAGTGGCGTCAAAAATTAAGATTTTTGTAGGTACAAAATATACACGTGATTTGGGAAAAAGGTTTTAATCCTCACCATGTATCACCAAGGGGAGAGGGGGGTTAAATATGCTGAAAAAACATCACGTGATTAATGGACTTCCCCCCTGATCCATAGCTAGAGACTTATGCGGTCGCCTCCCCAGGTTACAGTATATTGAAATTACGAAATCTCCAGTTTATTTTAAGCTCTACGCTCAAAGCTATTAAGGCTTAAAATAAAGTGGAGAAATTTAACAGATTTATAGCAATTAACGTGCTATTGTACACTGCAGGGTCTCAGACCTTCCTTATGGTTAAGGAAGTTGGGCCACGCTATCCCAATGCGGATTGGAGGCTATTAACGAACGCAAATGCAGCCGGAACAAACGTCTTAACGTGCTTTGGGAGATAATATTTTTGGTGACCCATCTCGTGACCGATCCTTGCGTAAGTTGCTTGACAACGATCTAGTTGTTGTTATAGTGGAATAGTGATTCAATATAAACCTTATTCCCATCGGCGGAACGTCCTCCGCGATGAAGACCAGCTCGAAATCAGCTTTGCTCCGCCTCTCTGGTATGTTGCGTACCGGCTCCGGTAATTCTATCTGACCAGCTTTTACTTTTTTACCTTGAAAGGGGTTTATAGATGTCATCATCAACCCATTAATGTCCGCACCCACTGCTGAAGTACAGGTCTTTCGTTATAATGGAATCGAATCACAAAAACGCTAGCCTAGTTAGTTAACAACTTATGCAGGCGGGCTCAACGGCATAACATGCCTTCCGAAGCACGGAGCTTGAGATAATAAATTTCCGGTCACCCATCCTATGGCTGGCCTTTGCGAAAGTTGCTTAACTTCCACATCATACCGACGCACTAATCACTGAGTCATCAAACTCTTCTAACTATATTGATATATTGTTCATTATTTCTTTGCCCTAGTCCTGATATCGTGTCCGGCCGGTAATAAGCAACTTTCGTAATTGCCAATCATAGGATGGGTGATCGAAAATGTATTATATCAAGCTTCGTACTTCGGAAGGCACGTAAAGCCGTTGGGCCCGGCTGCATCAGTCGTTAAGTACCCACTAATCCACACTTAGCCCGCTTGGTGGGTGGCCATTTTCCCTATTCGATCCATAAGGAAGGCCTGAGCTCCAGCAATGGGGACATTAAAAGGCTGGATATAATTAAATCAATACCTTTAGGGTCATAAACGACTTGCTCCACTTGGAACATTGGTAGCCTCACCGGAATGGACACGGGCCATGCGAGAGGATTGTATATTACTATCTGAAAAAAATGATGACAATATTGGGCCTCAATTCTGGATTTTTTTGTACAGTGCCTGATTAACCCCTGGGCTAATAACTGCAGCCTAGGGCGCGACGAACGGCCGTTGAATAGGGATGATGACTATTTTTTGTTTGTTTGTCTGTCAGGTAGAGTGTTAAAAAATATTAAACACGTATTTTTTTATTTTTTTCGTAATCATAAAGTTACGGCGTTACATTGAGTTGAAATTTCGCATGACGTCACGTTATGGTACGTTTTCTACTCAACTGTGACGTAGCGAGCCCCCACTCCTCAACTTTAATGCCTGTTATTTAAGCTATTTCTTGTTAAATTGAAGTAAAAAAGAAATACGTAGGTATCTAATATTTTTCTATTATCTGACTGACGGACTTAATAGAATTGCATTTTTTTTACCCAGTCGTCATCCCTAATCTTGGTCTTGTCTTAAAAACCGGAAAATTATTATCTAAAGGACAATTCCAAAACTTTGGTATTCTGCCGCGCTTAGTTTATGCAAGTGATTTATGAGAAATCTTTGCGGCAGAGGGCATTCATTTGGCGCAATTTTTGACTTATGTCGTCTACTGCCTACTTTGACAATAAAAAAAATGTAAGCGCTCTCATTTTGTTACCTACTACAAAAACATTTATTTATAACTTCAATTATATTAATTATTGTAATCATCTACATGAAATTACAAATCGCCTCCCTAAGCACATACACGACGCCCTCATTTTTCTTCTGGGTATTGCCGCCCCCTTTAGGCCTGCAGCGCCCACAAGGGGGCTTTTTGCCCACTTTGGGAGGGGCTGGTTTATTGTAATACGGGTGTATTTAGTAAACGAATATAAATACATATTATTATTTTTCTAGTAGTATTCAATATAACTATTACCGATAATCACACTTTTATGCTTATTATATTTATAAAATTATTTAAATTAATTACGCAAAATTATGCTTCGTTGTCACGTGACCGCAAATAGCGCGTAGAACGATATTAGTTTCAGAGGGCCGTGACGTCATAGCAACGCCATGACATAAGTGGCGTTTTCGCGGGAAATTTCAAAAATGAAATCTATTATTATCAATTTTGCATTCAAAATGTTATACTGAAAAATATCCTTCAGTGTAACAATTAAAATTATTTTTAGATCTTAACTAATTATATATGAATGATGCTTTTTTTAATAAAAATATATAAAAAAAATCTTTTTTAAAAGCTTTAATGTTGCGTGTATGTTCCCTAATGTGGAAATAATATTAAGATTTTTTTAACGATGAGTGTACACAATGTCTAAATCTATCTAAATATATATAACTCAAAGGTGACTGACTGACATAGTGATCTATCAACGCACAGCACAAACCAGTGGGCGGATCGGGCTGAAATTTAGCATGCAGGTAGATGTTATGACGTAGGCATCCGTTGAGAAAGGATTTTGATCAGTTCAACCCCCAAGGGGATTAAATAGGGGATGAAAGTTTGTATGAAACTTTGTCAATTTTAAACCGATCGGGCTAAGACTTTGCATGCATAAAGCTACTATGACGTTCGCGTTCCCTAAGAAAGGATTTTGATAAATTCCACCCCTAAGAGGATAAAAATAGGGCATGAAACTAAATTTCAAGTTTTTTTACACAATATAATAAATATTCGTAAGAAATGCTGCTCAGAGTAACTTTACCACGCGGACGAAGTCGCGAGCATAAGCTAGTCCAATTTATATTTTTGCTATAATCTTTTGTAAATGTTATATACTTACATACATATGTTTTCCTTCAGTAGGATAACATCTGGAAACGTTTAGTTTGCATATAATCAGCGTTTGCGTGTCGTTTATATTATTTCTCAGTTTACTGAAAAGCAAAGTTTCTTTTAATATAGAACACTTAATAAGAGGGTGCATACATAAAAACATGAATCCAATCTGTTCCTTGTAAATATAAGGTGTAATAAGGGGTAATGTAATATATGTCAGGACATCGTGGAGTGGATTAGTTAAGTATACTGACTAACTTTTACTATGGGAGCAACACCGATTGTAGGTATTAAAATTTTGTATAAAACAGCTGATTATTAACCCATGAAGACCTGGCATGTAATAATATTACTACTAATAATATTACTACCAAATAAACTCTAAAGAGAAAGTATTTAAAAAAAAAGAAAGCACTAAAATAAACCTCCACTAGATGGCGACTCTAGCAAAAGTTGATTTTTGCAGGAAACGAATGGACCAAAGGAACCGAAATGACAGTCATTTACGTTCCTTTTACCTAACATATCAAATAACTGATATTTGCAAAGTTCGAAACTTAGATATCAATACAAATACGAAAAAGTACAAATAGAATATGAGTTGTTTATTGAGTTTTGAAAACTAATTTACTTATAACGCTTGCATGACGATTCCTATCAATGTTAATTTGAACATATCTATCGTTCATTCAAGCTTACAACCGCAATCAATATCGCATGTCAAAAAGTTGAAGCGTGAAGTTTGTGAATATCTTTTAAATGCCAAATTGAAAGGGCTTGCGACAATTTTACAATAAATCAATTAGGGGACTGATTATTGTTTCCAAAGACATACAAAGCTTAGAAACTTTACCTATTTATAATCTAAGTACTTATAGATTGGATACTTACTTAATTCCCTTCTCCAAGACATTGTATAACACCATATTTGTGGCTTTGGTCATTCTGTTAACGTAATATTTAAACACGTAATGTCTCATCTCGCCTGTTATTATGTTGTGATCTTGGAATGCACCTGAACAAACAGACATTCATATTATTTATCTCATAGAAAACTGATAAAAAAATTGAACTGTTATTCGACTATCAATTTCATATCGTAGATAAATCTCGACTGATCCGTTTAATTCATGAATTAATTTCGAATGATGTGTCTAATTTATTGACCAATCTTAATTTAACTTGAGAATGAATTGTACGAGTATATTCATAGATTATTCTAAGCTGATCCATTTAGTTCGTAGATCAATTTGTCCAATTCGTATATTTATCTTGATTTATCTATTTAATTCATAGATTATTCTTAACTGTTCTGACTAATCTTAGATGAATAGTAATTGATTCGTCCAATTCATGGATAAATATTGATTGATGTGCCGAATCGTAGATCAATCCTGATTAATCATGGAACAATATTGAATGATTATTCTTCAATCTTGATTGATCTCTCTGATAAGTAACTCAATCTCGATTGACCCGTTCAATCCATGGTTCAATATTTAATGATAGTTCATCAATCTTGATTGATATCTCTGATTAAATAAGTCAATCTCGATTGACCCGTTCAATCCGCAGATCAGTTTTGATCGATCTATTCTGTTCAACTGGGGGCCAATTCTACTAAATAAACTTTGTTTAAATCGAAAACGGATCGAAACCGAACGAAACTACAGTTTTTAATGGTTTTCCTATTCTACAAAGTGACATACGATACACTTCAAGTTCTATTTTAGCTGGAATTGTATCGTATGTCACTTTGTCTCTCACAGGAAGATTACCGACGAATATTAAATACGTATTTCTACCTCAATTTTTATGTCTATTATAATGGCCGGATTACACATAATTAAGTAGATAAGTAAAAGTAGATTTAAACACTCCAGTAATAAGTAGTAAATAAATCATTTAGGTAACTATATGAGCTTAATTGATTTTAAAATTAGAATCTACCTACTTAATTACATGTATACTAATCATACCCCATTTCTTGATAAATTTAAACAAAAAAAAAGTATCCAATATACTCGTATCAAAAATCCAAACCCGAATTCGAATTCATTCATGAGTCCGAATTTGCATTACCATTGACAGTCTCACATACACACACACACACGCCTATACCCGAGATCATACATACACACACAAACATGCACTCAATCAGAGAGAGACATAACAATTATCATTTCTAAATTTACACTACATATATAAATAGGCACAAATCTCTGTTTCAATGTACATATATATAATAGAATAGTTACTGTCAATGTGATTTGGTTTTTTATATATAGTTTTAATGTAATTTAAACATAAGTTGTATGAGTCTTGCAAAGAATTTGCATCTTTAATTTGCACTAGAATACGTGTATTTAACCGTGACCCGAACGATATTGAGTTTAAAATAAGTCCTAATTTATCTACGGTCAATGATCGATGTAATTTATGTAACTTTTATCATGAGTCTATGGTAATCTTGTTTGTGGTTCATAAATAAATTTAAAAAAAAAGAGAATCGCAAGGCTGATTGACAAAATAAATAGAATTGTATTTTATTAACCCAAGCATCATAACCATTGTTGAGTATGCTCACCATTAATCCAACTGTATTCCTCGAATGTTTTATCATTATTAGGAAGTCTGGCCATAACTTGTAGTTGCTTAGCAATCTGTAAATAAAGTCAATTCAAAATCTTATTGAATAAATATTGTCGTTCCGTTTGTATATTTTAATATTTCTTTAGCTAACAATGGGGAAGTATTTAAAAAAAAACATTAGTTCCCGAAATCAAACTAGATGTCGCTACGGTACTTTCTTGATTTCTCCATGACAACTCTTCCGGGTTTCTTTCATGTATAAAAGTAAATTTATTTTCAAAACTCAATAAACAACTCATATTCTATTTGTACTCTTTCGTATTTTTATTGATATATAAGTTTCGAACTTAGCAAATTTCAGTTTTTTAATATGTCAGTTAAAAGGAACGGAAATGACTATCTTTGGTCCATTCGTTTCCTGCAAAAATCAACTTTTGGTAGAGTCGCCATATAGTGAGGTGCTTTTTTGTGCATTTTTTTTTCTTAAAATACTTCTCCATTACCTATCTTGCCGTGTTTTTACGTATTGTATTATACACAACACATCAAAATCCGTTGCGTAGTTTTAAAGATTTAAGCATACATACGGATATAGGGCCAGAGAAAGCGACTTTGTTTTATACAATGTAGGGATAAGACATACTATTTTTTTTTACAATATTCATCTTATCTAGCTCTATGTAAGTGTACACATTTTGTAATTCGATCCAGTAGCTTTTGATATATCCTTTACAAAACAAACAAATAAAAAATCAAATATTTCCTTTTTTATAATGTTAGTTTCCATAGATTAATTAACTTGATTACTAAACCTGTAAGTATCTGTGACCTTCCTTTGCTAAATATTTTATCGAAGGTCTCGAAGTGAACATCCCAACAGCGAAAGAATCTCTATCGTACGCCATTGGAAGGAAATCGTCCTGCTTCGTTTGAAGTTGAGGGCTAGAGAGATGAGATGGTCCAAGTTATTCGTGTAACGGTCCAAGTTATTTTTATAACGTGCCAAGTTATTATTCTTAAAATGGTCCGAGTTATTATTCTTTAGATGGTCCAAGTTATTATTCTTATGATGGTCCAAGTTATAATTCTTGTGATGGTCTAAGTCATTATTATTTACTAAGTTTTCAGCTGCAGGTCAAACTATTTGAAATGTGAAAATTAAAAAGCAAAGTCCTTTTTTGCAAATCTACTACTGTCTGTAGTCTCTTATTCTTTGTAATAAAACAGTAGAGATCTCATAGATTAAGGAAAGTCAGGCCTCCAGTTGTGTCTCGGTTAGAGAAATAGAGAGGACAACATAATAATCTACAACACAAATGCTTAAATATTCTATTTTACACAATTATTATTACATTAGTGGCAGCTACGCATATATGATGCATAATTATTATCGTATCCAAAGAAAATGAAAACATTTTTTTATTATTTTACATATATTATCCTTTTTTCTAAGTCCGTACTAATCCAGATATAGTTTATTATTCTAATAAAAGTCTACACTAATCCCACCACTCACTCAATAGGCGAGTACTACACGTAAGCGATACAGAGTTACACATACTAACGATATGAATCGGTTGTTTTCAACGTATACTTTATTATAGGTCTGTTTTTTTTCATCTGCCATAAGAACATACAACTAGTTTCTCAATTGAGATAAGCACAAAATCTCTACTGATTACTCTCAATGACTAAAGTTTTTTTTTGTTTCACATGGCAAAAAGTCCTAGTTCTATCAAACTGATCATTAAAAAAATAAAGTCAGAATGGGAAATCTGTTTAAGTGACATTTAGTACTATTTGGGATGAGCATAACTTTAAATTCTTAATAAGGAAGTATTAAAAAAAAAATTAGTTCCCGAAATCTAACTAGATGTCTCTACGGTACGTTCTTGATTTATCCATGACAACCTTTCTGGTTTTCTTTCACGTTTAAAATTAAATTAGTATTCAAAACTCAATAAACAACTCATATTCTATTTGTACTTTTTCGTATTTACATTGATATCTAAGTTTCGAAATTCTCAAATTACAGTTTTTTAATATGTTAGTTAAAAGGAACGGAAATGACTGTCTTTGGTCCATTCGTTTCCTGCAAAAATCAACTTTTGCTAGAGTCGCCATCTGGTGTAGGTGCTTTTTTAATGCTTTCGTTTTTTTTTAATACTTCCTCATTCAGAAACCGGGTGTATGTTATCAAGGATATTTACTTAGATAAAAGTATATATATATATATATATATATATATATATATATATATATATATATATATATTATATATTTTTTACACTTACCTAGAATCATATACAGCTTTTAAATAACAAGCAGGCGTAGAATACCTCACTTGGACATCAGCATATCTCGTATTCAACGCGCTGTAATAAATAATATAATATTAAAAATATTTCTTTTAAAGAAAAATACCTTAAAATGCACTAATCCAAGGTAAAAACCTTTCTGGTGAGCAGATACAATTCCAGTTCTATTTTAGCTGGAATTGTATCGTATGTCACTTAGTAGAATAGAAAAACCATTAAAAACTGTAGTTTCGTTCAGTTTCGATCCGTTTTCGATTCGATTAAATCAAAATTTATTTAGTTGAATTGGCCATATTGACAGAGTGTTTATAATGTATGAAATAACCATTTAAAATAATTTTCAGAAAAGTTTCAAATATCCTATTAAGCATTTGGCAATGAGATAGATAGAAAACTAATTTTAAGATAGATAACTTGTAGATAAGGATGAATGGGCAAAAAACAAAAATTGTATTAAGTTCGTCAGATTATATAAAAATATTAGATAAGTATTATTCCTTATTAAATTTAACAAGAAATGGCAAGATAATAGGTATCAAAATGAAATGAAAAAATTATGAGGAATGGTTGGCTACATCACCTAGATAGGTGCATCTAAATAAAATTCTTCAATAATCTTTCTGACAGACAGACAAACGGTCAGTTGCACAAACGTCCATTAAGGTTTAATGATGCCTTAAAGCTCTAATGAATATCAAATTTGTATGGGTAATACCGCTTTAAACTTGAGATATTTTTAATGGAAGTTTGTGCAACTGGCTGAAAAAAACGTTGAATTTTAGGAGTGCTTTGTTATTTCTTTCGTTTTGACTGTGACAAAACCATTAACAAATTTGATGCACTTACGGTCAGTTGCACAAAAGTCCATTAACGTTTAAGGACGCTCAACGTTTAACGTTTAAGCTTTAATGAATATCAATTTTGTATAGGTAATGTCGCTTTGAACTAATGAAAATATTAATGGACGTTTGTGCAACTGGCTGTTAGTTTACTAATTTTTCGCATAACCTTTTTTATCACCAACATAGAGTTGTTTCTGATAAATAACCTATTTTACTATCTCATTCGAATTCGTCTTGTGTTATATACATCCTTAAAATGGTTTACTAATCTTTTGATATCATTCTTATTCACTGCCAAGGAATTATTCTTATGCATTAGTCAACACGACGTGAGTAACTCAGTAACGTCGGTTTTTCCGTGATGAGTGATGACTGACTGAATTGGGTGACTGCTCTAACGATACGAGAGGCTTTGGAGAAACATGATTTTTAAGCTGTTGTTACTTTCGCGTCAGTAATTTTATTTTTATCCATGGCAATCAACCTGAAGAGATGAAAGAAATACATTCATGATATTTTTAGGGTAAACAATGAACCCTTAAAGTTTCGCCGTGTCCGTCTGTGGTGTAGCTCAAAAACTATTGGTATTAGAAATTTTTAATTCGAAATAAGTTTATATGTTAATGAGGAAGTATTTAAAAAAATCGAAAGCACTAGAAAAGCACCTCCACTAGATGGCGACTCTAGCAAAAGTTGATTTTTGCAGGAAACGAATGGACCAAAGACAATCATTTCCGTTCCTTTTAACTAACATATAAAAAAACTAAAATTTGAAATGTTCGAAACTTAGATATCAATACAAATACGAAAAAGTACAAATAGAATATGAGTTGTTTATTGAGTTTTGAAAACTAATTTACTTTTATACATGAAAGAAAACTGGAAGGGTTGTCACGGAGAAATCAAGAACATACCGTAGCGACATCTAGTTTGATTCGATAACGTGGCGAAGTCAAATTTCGATATAAAAAATGTTTAGAGTACCTGCCCTATATGTAAAGTGGAGATAGTATGTGGCATCGTCGGATAGGTCTATCAATGAGGGTATGGGAAAGACGTATTTCGATTAACTAAACCGCTTGTGACTTATTTAGCTTTAAAGAGCTAATTTTCGTTAGAGTTAAGTGTCATCCCTTCTACCGACTAAACAGCGGTTGCTATAAATTCAAAGGTTATGGCAATACCTACTACCTTTATATAACGAAGTTAAAAAGGAAATTATCACAAAGAAAATTAACAAATTTATTTTCTTTGTGATAATTTTTTTTTTTTGCTTTACAAATTTACGAGTAATATTCGACCAATTGTATTTAACTCGAAAATTCCGAACAACTCCATTGAAAACAAATGATGTTATTATTGCTTTTTCAATGGATAATAATAAGGAAACCATCGTGTATAAGTCTGATTCACACTTGGTTGATTTTATAAAATTTTGTTATTAAGATGAAAATGTGATCTAATTATAATTTTTAAACGACTTCGAGAAAGGCGGAGGTTCGCAATTCGACTGTATGTTTTTTTTCGTGCGTTCGTTTCGCGATTACTCCGACAATGAGGGAGTATTTAAAAAGAAACATTAGTTCCCGAAATCAAACTAGATGTCGCTACGGTACTTTTTAATTTCTCCATGACAACCCTACCAGTTTTAATAAGTTTCGAACTTTTCAAATTTCAGTTTTTTAATATATTAGTTAAAAGGAACGGAAATGACTGTACATGGTCCATTCGTTTCTTGCAAAAAAATTTTTTAATACTTTCTAATTGTACGTCGTACACAATACGCTACCGTACTTGAACACAGTGAAATTATTTTACTTGTCTCATTCTGACCAAGGTAAACAAGTTAATCTGCTTTAATAACGTAAAAAATATAATTATATTTATATCTACCTAAAGTAAACATTTTTTTTACTCTTAAATTTAAAATGTAAAGATAGCTGTAAAACCTGATTTACATTATCAATATTTGTCTTCTTTTTGCTCTCCTGAAAAGTTGGACTTTTGCAGATTGCATAGTTTACCACTGGACCGACGACATATAAAGCGTAGGTTAAACAAAATACTCACTAGACCAACTTATCTATGTTCCGGAACCAGACACTAGCGTCGTGATATCCATCCCGCATGCCCATAACTACCATGATGTGTTTGGTACTATAGTACGGGGCTTGTCTCACCTGGGATATGCGCACGAATTCATCCACCTAAACAAAATAATTTTATTATAGTGAATCCGCGAGCTTTCCACGATCTTTTGTTTTCTAAATAAGTCTATGTTCTTGGTTTATAGTCTGTTTTGCAGATAATAAACGGATATTCATGATCAGCCCTTTTACGTTCCCATTGCAGGGGCTCAGGCCTTCCTTATGGTTAAGGAGGGTGGGTCATGAGAATACGCGCGGACCCAATGCGGATTGGTGGGTGACGACTGCAAATGCAGATGAGATTAATTACTAAAAGTGCTTTCCAAAGCACCGGTGTAGCTCGAGATAATTTTTCCGTCACCCATCCCGTGATTGAACATTGCGAAAGTTGTTTAACAACAATGATCGCGGGCTGCGACGCTTATCTACTAAGCCACCGAGCTACTCTTAATTGAGTAATTTATTGCAAACTAGCCTTCCGAAAGCGGCTTCCCCGCGTGATCAAGTTTTAAGTCCAGAAATAAGAAAATTACATAAAAAATTTCATCCCCTAATTTACCCCATTAGGGGTTGAATTAGATAAAATTCCGTCTTAGTGAGCACTCATGTGCTAAAAAGAACCCGCATGCAAAATTTGCAACTCCTAGCGCTTGTAGATTCTGAGATTTCGTGATGAGTGAGTGACCTTTCGCTTTTATATATAAGTATAGATAGATATATATTTACTCACTCTTTGCATTACGTTTCTGAATGTCTCCGAAGAAGTTATGAGTAAGGGATCATTACATGTGGACGCAAAACAGAACCCTGGGGGGGGCCAATAGCCATCATACAGTTTGTGGGTGTATATATCTGACGGTGGACCTGGATAATAAAGTTTTTTAACATATTATGAATATAATTAAGGAATTTTTGAAATTATGTAACTTTTAGCGATCGTGTTCGATTTCTGAATTAAGTATTTAAAGTTAGGCACGACTCAAACTGTACTTAAAGAGGTTTTCATAAGTTGATAGCAGTTTGATTAGGACTTTTTGATATGTGAAACTTAAAAAGACTTAATTTATTGATAATCTGTTGAGATTTTGTACTCTTCACAATTCAGAAACCGCCTTTTATAATATTTGCGTGTAACGCTTGCCTTAGATAATTTCAATGATCGTCAATTAATTTTAGCGTGAAATTCGTGAATATCATTCAAATGTCAATTTAAAGGGATTGCGATAAATTTTAGAATTAGACAATCAATAAAATTATATTTCCGCCAGCGGCTTCCCCAGTTTGGTCCTTAAGAAACTTCAGGAATATAAAGAGTTCTACATGTTAATTCAGAATACTATAAAGAACTTGAATAAAGAAGTTTCATACAAACATTAAACCCCAAAAACAACCCCTAAGGGGTCAAATTTTGCAATCGCCATTTCTAGTGCTTAGTTAACAGATTAGGTACGACCTAAAACGAAGCCCTATGCAAAATCTGAAACTCCTTGCACTTGTGGTACTTTCACTTTTACCTAAAGAATGGTACGTTATTATTTCTAAGTTAATTATTTATTTTGCAGAGAAAAAAAAGTATTATAAAGTATTATGTGAGCATTGAAAGGAAACGATTGGTAAGTTTCGCTACCCATAGAACTCTGTATCTTTGTATCGTTTGAACTAAGCGCATTAGCACTGGTTACGAATGGAGGTGCGTATGGTTTGTATTTTTTTTATACAGCGGACATGGACTCATTTTCGAAGAAACAAAGCAAATTTTTTTAAGGTTCAAATAATTAGAGCAATATAATCCGTTTGTCATGCCATGCCGCTAATACGAGCGCCCTAGGCAGTTGCTTAGTATGCAAACCAGTAGAAAGTGCCTTTAAGGACGAGTCGACCCTATACAACGCAAAAATTATACAGAGATGTATGGTTAGCGACATATATCGTTTACTACCAACGCATCATTGTTGATATTTTCGCATGCCTTAGGTACAGATTCCTTATACTAAATGAAAAATGCGACTTTGTCCCTGGTACTCTGAGATGGGACTCGAACCCATGACTATTTGCGATCCGGGCGGACAAATTTTAAAAGCACTTGTATCTTCCGCTACTACAGAGCGTATTCTCGTCAATGTTCAGGCAATCCACTCAAAAAGCCGAAAGAAATATTTTTACAAATATTTAAACTTTCGATAGAGATTACTGTAATCGACAACAAGCATAGAGGACTGTAGATAATTAATCTATAATATATAAAGTTTAATAATATAACTTTTAGCACAGAGAAAGATTTATTGTTGACCAACGTACAAAAGCAAGATACAAGCGAATACATTGACAAAGTCAAAAAGTAAAAAAAATAAAATAAAAAACAAGTACAAAAACCTCCTTAAAGAGGCCAGTAATAATATATCAAAAACATGGTAAGGCTGTCGGCAACAATTATTCACAGGCACACGCTCGCGCGCGCACGCACACACACATAAACACATTCACGCGCGCGCACACGCACACACACACGCACGCACACACGCACGCACACACGCACTCACGCACGCACGCATACACAGGCACGCATGCACACAAATTGCTTTAAAAACTTGTTTGATTATAAGGAAGAGCGGCGCTTCTCAACACAGGTATCTTTGGATTACTTTTAAGAGAAGCCCCGGCAACTGTATTGTTAAGATTTTAAAGTAATAAAGCAATTTTATAAAGCAATTTATACTCACCCAAATCATCGTTGCCCCTCCATACGAATTCCATGCCTTTTCGCCTCATCCGAGGCAGTTCGTCGTCAAAACTGATGGGGTTTATGAAGAGACCATCGAAACCCATCTGAGCCATCAGCGAGGCGAACTCCCTGGAATGTCCTAACACGTCTGCTTGCCATGCAACCAAAGGACGACCGCATTCCAAGAATGTGGAATTCAATTTCCTGCAGGGTCAAATTAGAAATTTAATTAGAAAGTATTAAAAAAAATTGTTCCCGAAATCAAACTAGATGTCGCTACGGTACGTTATTGATTTCTCCATGACAACCCCACCGGTTTTCTTTCATGTATTAAAGTAAATTAGTTTTCAAAACTCAATAAACAACTCATATTCTATTTGTACTTTTTCGTATTTGTATTGATATCTAAGTTTAGAACTTTGCAAATTTCAGTTTTTTAATATGTTAGTTAAAAGGAACGGTCCATTCGTTTAATGCAAAAATTAGCATTTGCTAAAGTCGCCATCTAGTGATGTGCTTTTTTAGTGCTTTCTTTTTTTCTCAAAATATTTCTTCAGCAGAAATAAACAATGTCATACCTTAACGTGTATGTAAAATGGTCTATAATGGCGTGATAGCTAGTGGTAGCTTCGTCACTCATACCCCATCCGCCACCCACGAAGAATAATCTTCCTTGACGTACCAACGTGTACACCATGCGTCGAACTGTATATTAAATATAATAGATAGATAGATAGATAACTCTTTATTGTTGACATTACACTATTTACAGAAACAAACATAAATTAAACTTAATTAAAAATGCAAACAATTGGCGGCCTTATCGCTTAAAGCGATTAATGAAATTAAATATAGTGTAAACAACAGCATTAATACATGCAGTAAACAAATGTTTTCGCGTCGTACTTTCGTTTACTAATAAAATAGAACTATAAATTTCACAACAGGCAGTGGCGTAACTATACCGTTTGAGGTCCGTGGCAAATTCATAAGATATTCTATTTTTTTTTACTAATTGTGTAATAATAAATGTCAGGAGTAAGGTGTCCCCTCTGACCGGGGGCCCCTTCCAGCTAGTTACGCCACTGATAACAGGACAAAAGCTTGAAAAATCCGTACTTGAATAATGGTTGGTTCACACGTAATTAAGTCAAAATAGTAGTAAGTACGTTTTTAATAAGAATACCTATTTTTTTTTCTGATTAAGCTCATAAGCAATTAACAAAATGTTAAGAACGTATTACTTATATGTGTGTTTAAACTTATGAAACCTTATTATAACCACATTTGTACGAAATATGAAAAAAGCACCATATCTTTAGCCTTTAAACTTTCCCGCTACTTTGTCCGCGTAAATTATATGTCTACCGCGAATAATGTAGGTTCCCGTAGGTGATTTTTTTTAAATCGGTCCTATAGTTTCAGTGCCTGTTCCGTGCAAACAAACAAACCTATCCTCTTTCTATCATTATAAGAGTTACAGATAAAATAATAAAACACGAAACCTGTTTCGTCTCGATTCGCCCACCAGTGAAAAAAATATGGCATATCGGAGTAAGTGAATCTGGAAAATGTTAATTTATTATAATAACAGTAATAATTCGATATTGAACATAAGGAATGAGGAAGTATTTAAAAAAAAAAAAAACGAAAGCACTAAAAAAGCACCTCCACTAGATGGCGACTCTAGCAAAAGTTAATTTTTGCAGGAAACGAATGGACTAAAGACAGTCATTATTATATAGGAAAAAAATCAGTGTAGTGTAGGGTTGCCAACCTTCATCTAAAATAAAATATTGTATTCTATATCAATTAAACGTACTCTATAATCTTTATAATTTTTATTTTTAACTTAGATAGAGGACGCTAAAATACACTTTTTTAACCTTTATTTATGATATGATAGTGTCATTTATTATCGTAACCATAAAAGTATCAAACAACACTAAAACTACCTTTAAAATGCTAAATAAAGGATACACTTTTTTATCTTAATTTATCTCCTTTAAATGAATTAATATTAGGCAACATTACATACATTGCTCAGATTTCAAGATTAGTAGCTAAAACCCCCATTTTATGGAGTATCTGAGACAACGAAGATAGAGTTTGGCAAGCGAAACGTGACACCACCTATTTTTCCGTTTTCATATGGCAACAACATAGAACTGTCAGTTTGACACTACGTTAGACAATTCAAGAATATTGAATTTTGTTGGACTCTGCTTTATGGTCGAGTGCTTGATACAAGTGCCTCTAAGAAATTTAATAATTTCTCTTTATTGAGTTACTTTTGTCCGCTTTCTGTGTTTGTGTTGTTTATCTGTATTTGTAACGTATTGGGGATCACTAGGTAAGTGTTGTAAAGCTTGTTTAAAATAGCATAAAGGCAATTATGGATACCGATCCACCTGACCCTGGTGGCGGTACGGCTCATTCTCAAGATTTGTTTAGTTCTCAATTTGAGGACAATCAAATATCATCAAATAGAAAACGCACTCAAGCTTCATCATCTAACCCTATTCCGGCAAAGAAAAGTTCATCTGCCCAAATTACTGCGTCAGCGCAAACCACCTACATTCTACCAGAATTTGTAGATAAAAAAACTAACTACGCAAATGATGACCTTGGTCCATTTATTGTTCACATCTCAAAAAGAGAAGAGGCTTCTCAGGGGACGGTTTTGCGACCCATTAATTTTGGCAGATTTCTTCATACCAACAATATAAAAAACATTATATTAGATGGTGTAAAGAGGGTAGGGCGGAATCGCATATCTGTCCAATTTAAATCAGCTGCAGATGCTAACTCCTTCATGGTCCATCCAGCCATTAATGACAATGATTACTTAGTCTCAATTCCTTCTTTCAATATCTCTCGTATGGGAATTATTAGAGAGGTTCCAGTTGAGTGGTCCATGGAGGAATTAGTAAATAATGTTAATGTGCCACTAGGGTACGGAAAGGTTTTCCGAGCAAGACGCTTAAACAGGAAATCGGTGATAGGAGGCTCTACTCCAACATGGATCCCCACTCAAACAGTTGTGGTGACTTTTACAGGAAAAAAACTGCCAGAACACATTTATTGTTATTATACTTCCTTACCAGTTGAAATGTACAGACTCCCAGTAATACAATGCAATAACTGCTGTAGGTTTGGCCATGTAAAGTCCCAATGTCGCTCAAAACCACGATGTTTTAATTGCGGTGACATGCATGAAGGAGAGACCTGTTTAAGCCAGGCTCCTCCTAAATGCATCCTGTGTTCTGGAAACCACCTAGCCACACATTTTTCTTGCCCAGAACATGATAGACAGAAATCTATAAAACTTGTGATGTCGCAAGAAAATGTATCCTATATGGAAGCTTCAGCTAGATTTGCACCAGTTCGCAAAACATTCGCAGATACCACTCGCGTTAATTCACCAGTGGTTCATCCCCTCTCCTCTCAAATGAATTCCCCTCCTAGGCCACCTACCACCTCATATAAAAAAACTATTCTGACTCCCCACCACCCCCCCTCCCCAGCTTCCAGTCCTGGCTATGACAGATTGACACACAATAATATTATTCGTTCCCCTTCCTTTTCTCAACCAAATGGATGTGCTATTAATAGTAACATCTCTCCAAATATTGTGCCCAATGATAATCTAATAGAAATGTTATTTTTACAACTAACAACTTTAATTAATTTTATACAGCGTTTTAATGATATCGAACTACCGTACAATATTCGACAAAAACTTACTGAGCTTTCCTCCTTTAATAACATTCACTCCAATACTTCAGTGGAACTGCAGGAGTATTAAATATAAAAAAGCTGATATTATTTACATTATAAACTCCCACAGGCCTGTGATCCTTGCCATGCAGGAGACTTGGCTTGGACCGAGATCCATGTTCTGGATCCAGGGCTATGCATGCCTCCGGGATGACAGGAATGACGGCAAAGGTGGCTCCGCACTATTTATTTTAAGAAACATTAATTTTAATCCTATTGTTCTTCCTCCTCATGACCCTGATAATTTTAATATAGTAGCTGTCCGCGCCATGAATATTTCATTTATCTCCCTTTATATACCTCACCCAAGTCTTCCTATTTTACTTCAAATATTTTCTATAATCAAGAACATTGAAAAGCCTATTGTGGTTCTAGGTGACTTTAATATCCATAATGAAGTGTGGGGTTGCCATACTTCTGACCCTCTCTCATCTACACTATTAGATCTCATTGATGACTTAAACCTTTGTATTTTAAATGATGGCTCTCCAACCCGCAGGGTTTCCCCATCTCAAAACCCTAAGAGTGCCGTTGACTTAACCCTGTGCTCAGCTAGTCTGTGTTCTGGGCTTAATTGGCAAGTAATGCCTAATACTTATGGCAGCGATCATTTCCCCATCCTCTTATTTCTACCTGCACCCAGAAAGGAACCCCCAAAATATATAAATAGACAAAAATTTGTTTTATCTCGAGCAGATTGGAAAAAATATTATGTCACATCAGATGAAAAAATCAACAATCTATCCTCTCTAAACTCAGAGGATGTAGATGCAGATTATCAGCTTTTCAAGAAATCCATAGTGTCTGCTGCAGAAGAATGTATACCGATGCGTAAACCCCCACCGAAAAACCTTTCCTCCCCACCATGGTGGGACAAAGATTGTACTACAGCCTGTAAAAACCGCAAGAGCGCAGAAGCGATTTATGCCTCTTCAATGAGCCCGGAGAACTTTCTTAATTATAAAAGAGTTGCAGCAGAAACGGTTAAACTGTTAAGGTTAAAAAAAAAGGAAGGCTGGTCCAAATTTTGCTCAACTCTTTCACCAAAGACTCCCTCCACACTTGTATGGAAAAATATTAAAAGGTTTCGCGGGTCGATATCTAATATGTACCATCACAACACTTCTACAGACCCATCTCCTTGGTTAATACCCTTTATCCACAAAATTGCCCCTCCATCTGCCCCGTTATTGGAAGAGATTGTCAACCTCCCTTCAACTAAAACATCCTCGTCAAATTTAGAGGCATCTTTTTCTTTAGAAGAGCTGTCCTTAGTGTTATCTGGTTTAGAGGACTCCTCTCCAGGAGTAGATGGAATCCCTTACTCCTTTGTCGCCAAAAGCGGAAAGGATACCAAGCTTTTCTTTCTAAAGACAATCAATACAATCTTCAATAGAGGTACCCCACCTGATGAATGGAAGACACAGATTATTATCCCAATCTTAAAGACAGGCAAACCGAGTAACGACCCATCTAGTTATCGTCCTATCGCTCTATCTAACACAATGTGTAAAATATTAGAACACCTCATCAAAAATAGATTGGAGTGGTATTTGGAGAACAATAACAGCCTTGCAAAAACACAGTTTGGTTTTCGGAAAGGATTAAGTACTATGGACAGTCTCAGTACCCTTGTCACCGACATCCGTATTGCTTTCTCCAAACGAAAATCAGTAGTAGGCGTATTTCTCGACGTTGCATCCGCCTACGATAATGTTCTTCTCCCGGTGCTCAGGCAGAAGATGCAACAGCTGAACATCCCTGAGAAGATACATAACTTCATTTTTAATAGCCTTTCAGAAAGATCAATTCTTATTAATTACCAAAATTCTAATTCTTCCTCTAGAAGGGTGTGGAAAGGCCTCCCTCAGGGATCGGTCCTCAGTCCCTTATTATATAGTATTTACACCCATGATT